CCCGGGGTGTCTTCCTCCACTCCCCCCAAATCTCCGCCCCACCCCGCACTCTCAGCCTGTGCATCCTCCCCTCCCCCAGGAGGATGCTGCCTTCTCCCCTCACCGGCTCCTCTGGGCTGCAGGTCTCCCCCTCTATCTCGGGGCTTCGGAATCACACTCAGTCTAGTCTCGCAGGTTCAGTGTACCCTTTCCCTCCAGAACCCCAGGTCTCGGCACTGCTGATTCTCTGCCCCACCTAGGTTTCGTGTCCCCCGACTCTGAGTCAGTGTGCCCCACCCTCACATCCGTCCGCATTCCCTCCGTAGGTGTCTGTCTCCCGCTCTCGTAGGTGTCTGTCTCCCGCTCTCGGGGTGACTGTTCTCCGGCCCCCTCCCCGACTCTGGCCCAGCCCGTCGCCCCGCCTCCAGCTCTGGCGTCTGCGCCTCTCTCCGCCTCCCCAGACTTCCCTCCGCCCCAGGCTGGGCTGGGGAGCTGCGGATCCGGTTTGTCCAGGGCGGGTCAGGAACCCCGGTCGCTGGAGGGGACTTGGGGAGCCCTGCGGTTCCCGGCTGCGGCAGCATGGTGGGGTCGGAGAAGGAGCAGGTACAGCGGCCGACGCCCGGGTCTGAGGGAAGCGCCGGCCGGGTCTGGCCTCCCGTTTCCCAGATTCTCGGGACACCCAGATTCTTGAGTCAAATGAAGGAGGGGTCTGAGGCTGAGGCGGGTGGGAGCCGGGGCTGGGAGATGGAGACCCGGAGCTTGGGGGAGGAGGGCGCTGGGGTCCGGGACTTCTGGGTCCCAGGGCAGCGCGGGGTGGGAGACTCCTCAGTTTTCTGCAACTGAACGGGATCCCCACCCTCCTGTTCCTGTCCCCAGAGCTGGATCCCCAAGATCTTCAAGAAGAAGACATGCACGACGTTCATCGTTGACCCCTCAGATGCGGGGTGAGGAGTTCGGCGGGGAACCACCGGGCTGCTGGCGCTCCATGGCACAGCCCAGCCGCCGCGGCCCCACCCTCCCCTGTCATGGTCACTGCGGACGCCCCAAGGGCTTCCCCGGTTGCGCTGGCCTGGGGCTGGCCTGGGGTGGGGCGTGTCTGTGCAGACACTTCCAACTCCCAGCCCCCCACTCAGGGTCAGTGTGACCCCCAGGGCGCCCCACTGTTTCTTTCCCTCCCCGTGTCTCCACTGTGTCTCTGTCTCCTTGTCAGTCCCCGTCTTTCTGTTTTGGCTGTCTCTGTTTCTTTCATATATTCATGCATTCA